AAAAAAAAAAAAGAAAACTTAAAAAAAAATAAAAGATAATTTAAAAATAAATAAATAAAAATTAATGGGCCAGGTGCAGTGGTACACACATGTAATCCCAGCAGCTTGGGAGGCTGAACAGGAGGACCACAAGTTCAACGCCAGCCTCAGCAGCTAGGTGAGACCCTAAGCAACTTAGTGAGACCCTGTCTCTAAATAAAATACAAAATAGGGCTGGGGATGTGGCTCCATGGTTGTTGAGTGTCTCTGGGTTCAATCCCCAGTACCAAAAAAAAAAAAAAAAACTAATGAGAAGGGCTGCAATTACAGCTCAGTGGTAGAGTGCTTGTGTGCTTGCCCAGTATGTGTGAGGCACTGGGTTTGATCCTCAACATCACATATAAAATAAATAAGTAAATAAATAAAGGTGTATTTAAAAAGTCAATAGATGATGCCTAAAATTTTAAAAAGAAAAAAAAAAGAATTGATGGGAAATTCACATTTCTAATCTGGTTAGGATATTCCCTATTCCTCATCTATGAGAAACAAATGTTGATATGGGTATACACAATCTTGAAAGTCAGTTCTCTGATTTGGCTTTGTCCCGTCCCTAGGCACAGTGTAAATCTGATTAGGTTAGGCTCATTTGACTATTCCTTCAAATCTCTGAAACTTCCAACACAGCTACTGGCTGGCCCAGAGGCCAGTCCAGTTATTATTCCAATAGGGAAGCCTCAGAAAAATTCAGCTGCTTATCACCCTGGAGCAAAAGGCCTAGTAAAATGGCAACCACAAGAACCTCAAGAGTCACAACTAGCAGAGCACAGTGGTACACACCTGTAATCTCAGCTCCTTGGGAGTCTAAAGCATGAGATCGCAGGTTCAGCAATTTAGCAAGGCTCTTAAGAAACTTCATGAGACCCTGTCTCAAAATAAAAAAATAAAAAGGAAGGGCTGGGGACTTAGCTCAGTGGTCAAGCATCCCTGGGTTAAATCCCTAGTCCCAGTTCACTCAAACCAGGTAGGTGACCTGAAGTAGCACAGAGGTATCTCTTTCAGGCTTATAAAAGTTTGCCAATCTCTGATTTAAACATCTTAATCCAAATTGAAAACTGCATTCTAGGGGCTGGGGATGTGGCTCAAGCGGTAGCGCACTCCCCGGGTTCGATCCTCAGCACCACATACAAACAAAGATGTTGTGTCTGCCAAAAACTAAAAAATAAATATTAAAATAAAATATTCTCTCTCTTAAAAAAAAAAAAAAAACAAAACTGCATTCTGAGTCTCCTATTTTGCAAGCTAGAATCAAACCAGACTATGTTACTTACTTCCTCTGCATTACACCAGAATTTCTCCATTCTTGGTCACCACTCTTCTTGTAAGAATGCAAGAGATTTATCATACCCCTTCTTACACTTTTTTGGGAGGGTACTGAGGATTGAACTCAGGTCACTTGACCACTGAGCCACATCCCTAGCTCTATTTTGTACTTTTTTTTAGAGACAGTGTCTCACTGAGTTGTTAAAACATGATGTATAACATGAGATATATATATGCAAAAAAAAAAAAAAAAACAAGATGGTGTGGGCTAATCAAGGAAATATGACAGTAGTGGTTCATGCTGTTAATTCCAGCAACTTGGGAGGCTAATGTAAGAGAATTGCAAGTTTGAGGACAGCCTCAACAACTTAACAAGGCCCTAACAACTTAGTGAGACCCTGTCTCAAAATAAAAAATAAAAAGGTCTAGGGATGAAGATCAGTGGTAAAGCACCCCTTGGTTCAATCCCAATACTTAAAAATAAATAAATAAATCACAGAAAGTGTTCTATAGAAAGAAGTTTTAGGAATCAGGTTTGTTTTGTTGTTGTTGTTGTTTAGGAGGGGTACCAGATACTGAACTCAGGGGCACCCAAGCACTGAGCCACATCCCCAACCCTATCTTCCTATTTTGTGTTTTATTTAGAGACAGGGTCTCACTGAGTGACCTGCTTTCGCTGAGGCTGGCTTTGAACTCATGATCCTCCTGCCTTAGCCGCCAAGTCACTGGTGTGTGCCACTGCACCCGGCTAGGAATCAGGCTTTTAAGAGCAATAGGAACCCCAACTGGCAGAGAAAAGAGGTAAAGCCTAGAATGGGATTTCAAATCAAGGCTCCTTACCTTTCAAGTGTTGGGGGGCAGGTTCCCTGTTCACAAGGCTCCAACCCCCTGATGCCTCCACTCAGTACCACTCAGGAGATGCTCCAAGTAACCCATCTTGTTGGCTATTCTCCAATTGAGTCTTCCTTCCTAGTGACAAACTCCATCACCAACGGATGGATGTAATGTCACAATCAGATGTCACAATCAGGAGCACTCTATTAATAGGAACAAGGAAGAGAAAGGTGAGTCAGGGGAACTACCTCCATTGGCATGAGACTGGATAGACTTGGATCTGGTCAAGAGTTAGTTGGGAAGAATGAGACAACTCCTTTAAGGACTACGGGTTTCAGTACAAGGTAGAGCTCATGAGCTAAGGAATCAAACATATAGTCCAATAGATTCAAACATAACTGGGAGAGAGGAAAAGGACAAGAAAGAGAAGAGCAGTTGGTGATTAAAAAACAAAAAAAGAGTAGCGCGCTCGCCTGGCATGCGCAGGGCGCTGGGTTCAATCCTCAGCACCACATAAAAATAAAATAAAGATGTTGTGACCACTGAAACCTAAAAAGTAAATAAAAAAAAAAGAAAGAAATTAAGAAAAAGGATTCTTTTATTCAGCACACCTAACTAGAAGTAATATCAATGATTCCAAGTCCGTGATTATATAATACAGAGAGTCATAATACCAGATGTATTCAGTATGATGCTTTCATGTTTTAAATGTTTTCACATACTTATTTCATGTTCAAAGAATTCTAGTCCTACCCTTTAATTGGAAATACTACTTCAGACAGAGATGCTCAAGAATGTTGGTACATGTGCAATTCTACTTCCTAAGTCAGGGAATATTCTTGAAGGGACTGGCCTTTAAATAAAATAAAATAGGCAGTAAGGAAATTATTCCAGGGTGGGCAATTCAGAAGGCTGAAGAGCAGTAAAATTAGGGTGACCAGACTCTCACCTTTACAAGAATGGACTCAAACAGAAAAGATAAAGGTGATTATGAGATCTACTCAACTATTTTCAGGGGAATAACAATTATTCAAACTTATTTCCTCACTAATATGTGTCTATTAATAATTTAAGGACTGTGTTGGGATAAAATAGGATGATGACTTTAAAACATAATACTTTAAAGGAAAAACACAAAAAACAAATTTAAAAAAACATAATACAAAGTCCACTTCATCTCTTTTTAAAAAATATYTTTTAGTTGTTGGATACCTTTATTTTATTTATTTATTGTTTTTATGTTGTCCTGAGGATCAAACCCAATGCCTCACACATGCCAGGCAAATGCTTTACCACTAAGCCACAACCCCAGCCCCACCACTTCATCTCTTGAGTCTGGTACACATGTTCAATAATGTTCCATGCTCATTAGCCACAGTGTGTTTTGCTCTTCCTTCCTTCCTTCCTTCCTTCCTTTCTTTTCTTTTCTTTCTTTTTTTTTTTTTTTTTTGGTAAAGGGGACTGAACCCAGGGACACTTTACCATTGAGCCACATCCTCAGATCTTTTTATTTTTTGAGACAGAGTCTTGCTAAATTGCTTAAGGCCTTAATAAGTTGCTGAGGCTAGCCGCACACATGTGATTCTCCTACCTCAGCCTCCAAGTTACTGGGATTATAGATGTGTGTTCCACCAAGCCCAGCTTTAGCACATATTTTTAAATTAATCAGAGTAATAAAGGTACCATGCCAGACACACTTTCTCTTGCCTGTGGTTCAGCTGGGGTTGGGAGGTGTTGTTATTTCTCTCTACTTTCCTTTCCCACCCTTAATACAGAAAAGGGTATCATATTTCTTCCATTTGGATGATATCCCCATTTCCCAATAAAATGCTTTTGTATCTCAAGAAATGCTTCCATAGGGCTGAGGTTATGGCCCAGAAGTAGAGTGCTTGCCTAGCATGTGTGAGGCACTGGGTTCAATCCTTAGCACCATATAAAATAAATAAATAAAGGTACTGTGTCAACCTACAACTAAAAAATAAACATTAAAAAAAAAAAAAAAAACTGAGGTTGTGGCTCAGTGGTAGAGCACTTGCCTAGCATGCCAGAGGCATCGGGTTCAATCACCAGCACCACAAAAAAAATAAACAAATAAAATAAAGGTATTGTGTGCATCTACAACTAAAAAATATATTTAAAAAAAAAAGTATTTCCATGCCAGGTGTATGGTGCATAACTGTAATCCCANACGATCTGAAAATTATTTTGAATGATACTGACAGCCACTGAGGAAAAACTGTCTAAAACATAGAATTAAACTAAAATATAAAATTAGTTGTATGCAAATTGCTGTATCACATCAGTTACCCTTCCATTGGTTGACATATTGCCTTTCTAGTGTCTGATGTATTCTGCTGTCTGTCCTATTCTCTACTATCCGTATTGTGTGCATCTACAACTAAAAAATATATTTAAAAAAAAAAGTATTTCCATGCCAGGTGTATGGTGCATAACTGTAATCCCAGCAGCTCAGACGCTAAAACAGGAGGATTGCAAGTTCAAAGCCAGCCTCAGCAACTTAGTGAGGCACTAGGCAACTCAGTAGAGACCCTGTCTCTAAATAAAATACAAAATAGGGCTGGGGATGTGGCTCAGTGTTTGAGTGCCCCTGAGTTCAATCCTGGTACCAAAAAAAGAAAAAAAAAAAAAAAAAGAAGAGAAATGCTTCCAGGAACCAGTACTATGGCTATGCTCAAGCCTCCTTCAAGTGACAAGTTCCAGACTCAGAAAGCGAATAGTTGCTCACACTCAGAAAACCAATCCTACTTCAATACCCCACTGGGTAGAACAAAATGGGGTTTTTCAACAGAGTGGACAACAGAAGTCAGAAGACTTGGATTCTGGTCCTAGTTATGGAGCAACCAACTGGACAACTTTGAATAAACTATCTAACCCTTCTGTAGTTTTCAGTTTCCTGAACTGTCAAGTACAGAAAATGATACCTGCCCTAACTACCTTATATACTGTCCTACAAATCAAATGAGAATTCGAAAGTATACTTAATACTATTATCCTCAGGTAAGGTATTATTTGTAGAAATATTATGGCAAAATAGATTTATAATGAGAGCTAGAGGAAATGTTTGGAAAAACTTGTTTCTTCTTTTCAATTACTGGGAACTAGGCCAGGCCACAGGGTCAACTGGACACATAGGGTAATAACACTTTTGCATCACTCATATTCCCTCACTAGCCCACTCCATTCCTACTTGCTAGAAGACTAGCAGCCTGCAACAACATCAGCCTATTGTCAGACTCAAAAACCATTGTATAGGAAGGAATAAGACTTGCATAGATCATTCTCCAAAAATCGAGACCTCAGTAATAGCCTCATTTGCTGTCAGATGAAATGTTTCTTAATGGGAAGATATCTGTCAATCCCTCAGGCAAAAAAAGCTTTCACCCCTCTTGGCTTCTGGCGTCTTCTTCAGCCCCCAGCTCCCCACTCCTCAATATCCCTGCGTCCTAAATTGGGGCAGGGTTTACGGTGTGTGAAGAGGTTGCGTGAAGCGTGCATGAAGACCAGGCTGCAAACCAAGGGCAAAGATGTAAGGAATGTGAGATTCCTTCGCGGAAGACTGGGAGAGGAAAAGGAGCTGGGAAGGAATGAAAGACACAAGGCTGCCAAAGACAAGGCATGGGAGAGGAGCCAAGCTATTGCGCTTTGAGGGCGGAGGTTCAGGTTCCGCTGCCCCTGCTGAGGCTGGCCCCCCGAACGTTCCCTTCCTTCCCTCCAAGCCTGTCAATCATTGCCCATTTAAACACCACGCTGTTCTCCCCGGGTCCGCTCCTCCCAGTCCTCCGGCTGGCTCAGACCCCCTCCCTCACATAAGACTCCCCTACTCCAGGGCACCTCCCCCAGCAACACAACCTCCAGAGCCCCCTTCTCACCTCCCTACTCCTTCCCAAGGCTGCCCTCTTCTTTCATTTTTCATCTTTACTTCACCCCTCCTCCGGAACCCCAGTATCTAGAACCAATACCCCTGGGACTTCGCCCCTTCCCCTCCCACACCCTGGTTTAGGTGAAAACTCGCGCAGGCGCAGTACGCACCACCCTGGACGCAGTCTGGGCTCTCTGTACCCGGGCCTGCCAGGAGTTGAGGCCGCAGCGGCCACAGGATAGTCCCGGTGCCGGTTCCCAGCCTTTCCCGGGAGGGGAAGGGGAAGGGGAAGGAGAAGGAGGGGAAAGAAGGTTCCGACCACTCGTCGCTGTCTCTGAAGGATCCTTTACCCCGCCCACTGCTGCTACGCAACCTGGCGGAAGCTCGTCACCAAGCCCCGCCTCTTTGTTTAACTCGAGCGCGACTAGAAGCTGTGAGCAGCCAACGAGGAGCAACGGAGGCTAGCCTGGCGTCCCCTCTAGACCGGAAGCTCGTGGTCCCAACTCGGACTCTATAGCCTTTTGGGAAGAACGACTCTAAGTTCTTCACAGTATCAAAGTCCGGAGCGAGTCTGAAGTTGACTGCCCTAGAAGGCGACAGTTCGCCTTGGAGGGGCGCAGGTCTCTTGTATTCTAGAGCGGATGCAGAGTGACGCGACATCTTGGGGTGCGGCTGGCCTGCAGTGTGATCTGCCATCCTCCAGGCCCCTCTCAGTTTCCAGAACCGTGGTCAGCATCCCTGAGCCTCCTGAACCTGTGATTCATAATCATGGGAATGGATACTGCAGTTAACAAGGCGGCGGTGGGGTGGAGTGTCTCCCCACAAACCTTTGATCTAGGGTGCTCAACTGGTTGTCCTCCTCTCCCAGCCATACTCCTGCCCTATTCACGAAGGCTCAACAAACACTCATAGAATACCCTGAAACACTAAGGAGAGAGAAGAGAGAGACGATGTCCCTCTTCCTATGGTGTAGTTAATTTCCTTAGTTTGCAGCACCATGGTTGGGAATGGGGAGTTCCGAAGGAAGTTATAGGGGAGTTTAAAGCACACTATGCGAAGGTAAGGGATTAATTTAACTAACCAAGGCATTACAATTACAGGACTTCTTAGGCTAATCTGGTATTAAATAGTATTTGTTATGGATATTCGCTAAGCAAATGATAATGCACGTAGTATATGTTTATGTAATTTGTTTGTACACGGTACTACAGGACTATCTACCTTTCCTTGACTATCCTACAAGTCCCAAAAGGAACTAAAGGTTCTGGCCTCTCTTGTCCCCCCAGGAACTCTCTTCCAGTGAGATAAGGTAGTAGGAAYAGGTGCCTTGCGAACTAATGAGAAGGATTAATGCAAATGTTGCTTTTTATGCCCGGATTCCATTTTCTTTCAAAGGGGGTTGAGGCTGCCTATTGTAAGTCCCTGGTGTGTACCCCAGGAGTCCCGGAAGTCTTGACCGAGCTGGCTAGTGCATTAAAGATGAAGACCCCGCCGGAATGGTAGCACACGCCTGTGATCATAGCAACTCAGGAGGGAAAGGCAGGAGGATCAAAAGTACAAGGCCAGTCTAGGCCACTTAGTAAGACCCTATCTCAAAATATAAAAACGTCTGGGGATGTAGTTGTGGTAGAGGGCTCCTGGGTTCAATCCTCAGTACAAAAAAAAAAAAAAAGAGGAAAGAAGAAGAGGAAGAAGAAGAAGACCCAAATCAGGAATGAAGATGATGGTTAGAGCAGGGGAAAATCGAGGGAACTGGTATATTTATAAGTGCCTGCTGTGTCCTCGGCTTGGCTTTTTGTATAAGTTCCGTTTTTTCATCTATAAAATGGAATTGCATATTTAAGAGTTATCGAGAAAAGTGAAGCAGTGAAGTCCCTCAAACTTTTGTCCACAGGATTCCAATGCCCTTGGTCCTTTTCTAAGGAAAAAATCCTAAGAGCCCATTAAATGCATTCTCCTAGCCAAGTAAAGGAAAATTGGGGCCTGAACCGCCCCCTGGTGGTTCACCTTGCCCACTGCTGAGCAAATCATCTCCAGGCTCCTTTAATTCCTGAAATCCTCCCGGGTCGCCGCGCGCGAATCTCGGAGCCTGATTGGCTGGACGGGGATTCGCAGCTAGGCGTGGGGCGCACCCCAGTGGTGGTGATTGGCCCGAGGAGGTCAGCCCGGGGAGGCTTCCGGAAATGTCCACACTCCCACGTTCCATCGGGCAGCATCCGGCGGCAGCGGGGCCTGTGGCTCCCCCTGCGGGCGGCTTGGCGGCGTGCACGGTCCGGCCTCCTGGCTGGGTGGGTAGTGGGCTGTGGGTGGGGGAGGGAACGGACCGATTCCCGCGATTCCCGCGTTGTCCAGATAAGGGTTCGGGAAGGTTTGGCTAGTAAGATTCCATTACCTGGCCTTGCACCGGGTTTCCTAAGCCTCCGTTGGCTCCCCTGCTTTGGGGTGTAAGACTGAAAGAGCATCCTGACCAGGGGCCTTCCAGCCCCTAAGCATTCTATTCAGACACCCTTCCCCAAGGTTCTTTTCTTGAAGTTCAAGGCTCCAGGGAAAGTTCATTTCTAACCTTCTACAAGAGTTAGAGGAATTAGGGCTGTTTGATCCCAGCTTTGTATGGTAGGTAGGCCTTTGAGAARTGGAGCATGGGGGCAAAAGCTCCAACCTTGTTCCCTGTTCCAGTGGGGTGCTGAGGCTCGGGCAGCATGACGACGGAGACCTTTGTCAAGGATATCAAGCCCGGGCTCAAGAATCTGAACCTTATCTTCATTGTGCTGGAGACAGGTGGCTATGCTGGAGTGGCGGGTTCGAGAGGTGTGGGGTGTGGGAGGGAGGGGGAACTCATCGCCTCTGTTAACTTGCTCCTTGGACAGCAGGGTGCGCCCTAAGGCATGGCTCAGTCCCCATCTCAGATCCTAACACAGGGAGTTGCAGTAGGGTAGTGTAGATAGAACTCTTCCCAGAGCTATGCACCCAGTGTCACGCGGGCCTCTTTCCACTCAGCCCTCTCCATGGTGCTGGCTTCTCCACTACCAACACCGCCCCCCCCAGCACCAGGGATTTGGGCTTTGCTTTGTTTGTACACCTTTTATCTCCCCCCACCAATATCCAGATTTCATCTCTCTGACCATTACTGCCCCATTTGTTTAAGTATCTTACCACCCTCATTTATCTGTACCCTTCAGGCCGGGTGACCAAAACAAAGGACGGCCACGAGGTTCGGACCTGCAAAGTGGCAGACAAAACAGGCAGCATCAATATTTCGGTCTGGGACGACGTGGGCAACCTGATCCAGCCTGGAGACATTATCAGGCTCACCAAAGGGTAAGGTAGTTGGTGGTTCCTGGCTATTCCCAGGGCAATAATAGTCAAGACAGATGGGGTTAAAGATTCCTATAACTCTTATGAAGACTATGAATCCTGCTTTATTTATTTTTATTTTTTTTTCTGCACAGATATGCTTCTGTGTTCAAAGGTTGTCTGACACTGTATACTGGCCGTGGGGGTGATTTACAGAAGATTGGAGAGTAAGTGCTGGTTGGGGGATTGGGATGAAGAAGCAACAGGCCAACGGGGGCAGTTAAGGTTTCAATGGAAGCAGCATAGGGTCTGCAGTCCATGCCCAGTATCTGGACTTTTCTGAAGCCTCCATCAGTGACCCAAAAGATGGGTCCAAGGCTTTGGCTACTTTCCCTCTGCAGATTCTGTATGGTCTATTCTGAGGTTCCTAACTTCAGTGAGCCGAACCCAGAGTACAGCACCCAGCAGGCACCCAACAAAGCGGTGAGTCCTCTGGCTTGATGCTAGTGAAGGGGAAAGGATTAGGTTAAAAAAAGCATGGTGGGGAGCAGGGTCTGAGTATGTAATCTGTGTCTTCAGGGGCAGAACGACAGCAGTCCTACAGCCCCCCAGGCTACCACTGGACCCCCTGCTGCCTCACCAGGTAAATCTATTCCTTTTCATCAGCTGGCCCTTCTAACTCCAGTACTCTCCCCAGCCTAGAAAGACACATTTCCCTCATCCCTGTTTTAAATCTCTTTTCTCTTCAGTATCCCCTAACCCAAGTTTTCTTGTAACCTCCCCCCTTTTTTGCCCCCTAGTACTGGGGATTGAATCAGAAATGCTCTACCACTGAGCTACATCCCCAGGCCTTTTTATTTTTTATTATCTTGAGATAGGGTCTTGCTGAGTTGCTCAGGCTGGCCTCAAACTTGTGATCCTCCTACCTCAACCTCCTGAGTCACTAGGATTACAGGTGTTGCCACCATGCCCAGCCTTGTAACCTCATTTTTCATGCCTTTTCCAAGTCCCTGTGGTGAAAAGATTTAGAAACCTATTTCAGTCACTTGTAGAGCTGGAGTACCCTTTTGCTACTACCACTCAAATCAAAAAAGAGAACAGTTTCTTCACATGTGGCAAGTGAATATTAGAGGCAAACAGTCTCACAAGACCTCAAAATATTTTTGTAGATTCTTTGTAACAAATTGTAATGTATGTATATAATATATACAGTTAAATATAAATATATGTGATCATGTATCACTTGTGATAGGGATACATTCACACATCATTGTGTGAACATCCTAGAGTGGATCAATATTACTGTCTTTGCCTCCTCACCTTGTCCTACTGGAAGATCTTTAGGAGAAATAACACACAGAGGGTTTCATCTAATATGACAATGCCTTCTTGTAGACAATCTCCGGAAAGACCTGCCTGAGGCTGTTTCATGGTTAACTTTTTTTTTTTTTTTTTTACGTAGAAGGAGTACACTCTAAAATAATGATAAAAAGAATAGTATACCCTGTCTCTAAATAAAATACAAAATAGGGCTGGGGATGTGGCTCAGTACCCCTGAGTTCAATCCCTGGTACCCCCCCCCAAAAAAAAAAAGAAGTATAGCATAATAAATACATTAACCAGTAATGTAGTCATTTATTAATATTACCAAGTGTTATGTGCTATACATAATTGTATGTGCTCTATTGATAGCTCAGCAGATTTATTTATACCAACATTACAATAAACATGTTAGTGATGCATTATACTACATTATTATGGCTACAGTGTCATTAGGCCATGGATATATTTCAGCTTCATTATAATATTATGGGACAATTGTCATAGATGTGGACCATTGCTGATTGAAATGTCATTATGAGATACATAACAGTATATATCTTATACTACATTGGTTCTGGCCCTATGGAGAACCCTGAATAATACAACCATAAATTCACAACAATTTTTGTTTGTTTGCAGTACTAGGAATTGAACCCAGGGCTCATCTACCAGCCCTTTTTATTTTATTTTGAGACAGGGTCTTGCTAAGTTTCCCAGCCTGGACAATATTTAATTCCTGCACAAAAATTAGCATTTGATTTTCCAACAGTAAATAGGACTGTTGAGGCTAGGGGATAGCTTAGTGGCAAAGTCTTTGTGTTCAACCTCCAGCACTTAAACAAGAAAAAGAAAGAAAGGAAATATGACTGTTATATATTTTTAGATGTCCAAAACTCTATCACATACAGAAATATTTTTAGGCTGGGCATGGTGGTACACACGAGTAATCCCAGCTACTTGAGAGGCTAAGGCAGGATCCCAAATTCAAGATCAGCCTGAGCAACTTAGTAAGACCCTGTCTCAAATAAAATTTTAAAAAGGAGTGGGTAGCTCAGTAGTAAAGTACTGACTTAGCATGTGCAAGGCCCCGGGTTTAATCCCAGTACCCAAAATATTTTTATGTGGTGCTGAACCCAGTGCCCCCATGTGCTAGGTGAGTGCTCTACCGCTGAGCCACAACCCCAGCCCACCTTTTTTATTTTTTATTTTGAGACAGGGTCTCACTAAATTGCTTACGGCTTCTCTAAATTGCTGAGGCTGGCCTTGAACTTGCAATCCTCCTGCCTTAGCCTCCCAAGTCACTGGGATTACAGGAGTTTACCACCATGCCTGGCTATATGTTTATTTTTTTTTAATAAGGTACATCTAAGCCTGTTTGCCTCTAAAATTCATTTACCACATGTTTATTCACTTTGTCATCTGCTATCAGATACAAAAAATTTAATTAAAAAACATTTGAAAGCTGAGTATGGTGACACATGCCTTTAATCCCAGGGACTCAGTAGACTAAGGCAGGAGGATTGCAAGTTGGAGGCCAGGCAGCCTCAACAATTTAGCAAGGCCCTAACCAACTTAGCCAGACCCTATCTCAAAAAAAAAAAAAAAAAAAAATATAGGTTGGAGATGTGCTCAGTAGTTTAATGCCCCTGGGTTCAGTTCCTAGAACCAGTAATTAAGTAAGTAGGATGTAGCTGAGCGGTAAAACATTCCTGGGTTAAAATCCCAGTACTTGGCCTGGGAGGCTGAGGCAGGAAGATGGAAAGTTCAAAGCTAACCTTAGCAATTTAGTAAATTGTCTCAAATAAAATATTAAAAAAAGGGCTGGGGTGTGGCTTTATTATTAAGCACCCCTGGATTCAATCCCTGGTACCAAAAAAAATCTACCCACTCCCCMAAAAATAGTGTGACAGCCAGGTACAGTAGCACATACCTGTAATCCCAGCTACTCAGGCTGAAGCAGGAGGATCACAAATTTGAGACCAGCCTGGGCATCTTAGCAACACCTATCTCAAAATAAAATTTTAAAAAGAGTGGGATGTAGTTCAGGGGTAGAGCATTTGCCAAGCTTACACCAGGTCCTGGGTTCAACCCCCATTACCACACAGACACAAAAGAAGTGTGTATGGCACAAAAACTTAACATTGACTTGTATACATTCACCTTTTTCTGTGAAATAAAGAAAGGACATTATTCTTCAGTTCTGAAGATATCTTATTCTGGTAAAACAGTAGCATTCAGAAAGGATATGGTTTGAGAACCACTAGCCTGTAACTTCTACACTATTAGTGTGTGCAGTGCCCTATGTATGGGAGAGACAGGCCTCTGCCTTCATTTAACAAGCATTTATAGGTCACCTAATCTGTGCCAAGGAATAAAGTACAGTACCTGCCTTTAAGAGCTTGAGAGTGATATGCACAGTTATAGGAGCCTAAAAAAGTCATCTCACATACCTGGCTGGTTCCAGTCAAACTTTTAAAATATATTTGGGGGTTGGGGTTATGGCTCAGTGGTAGAGCACCCGCCTAGCATGTGTGAGGCACTGGGTTCAATCCTCAGCACCACATAAAAATAAATCAATAAAATAAAATATATTTGGGGTGAGGAGAGGCTGAGGATCTAGCTCAGTGGTAGAGGGCTTGTCTAGTTTATGTGAGGCACTGGGTTCAATCCCCAACACTGCAATGAATAAATAAATGAAATTTACACAAAACTTATCTTTGAGAGAATAATATTATGTATAATATTTTTTGCTTATATTTATATTTTCTAAAATGAACATAAATTCATACACACACCACTTTTTAACATTTTAATTTGTTCTTTGTGTGTGTATGTGTGTGTGTGTGTGTGTGTGTGGTGCTGGGGATTGAATCCAGGGCCTTCTACACGTGAGGCAAGCACTCTACCAACTCAGCTATATCCCCAGCCTGATTTAAATTGTTTTTTAAAGCTCTTTGTTTTAATATTTATTTTTTAGTTGTAGTTGGACACAATACCTTTATTTTTATGTGGTGCTGAGGATCGAACCCAGGGCCTCACATGTGCTAGGTGAGCACTCTACCGCTGAGCCACAGCCCCAGCCCTTAAAGCTCCTTTTTACTGTTTTTTTCAAGCATGCTAGGCAAGTTCTCAACCACTGAGCTACAAATTCAGCCCCCTTCTTTCATTTAGAGACTTAAGCCTTTCCCCTTCCCATGCTTCTCTAGTCTTACAGTCACCCTTAATCAAGGCCTTGTCATGTTTGTTGGAGTTCCTCAAGCCTTAAACTGAACAGCTAATCCTAGGTCTGACTCTCAGTGATACAGAGCTGAATTAGAAAAATATCAAAACAGGGTTCCTGTAAAGACTTCCATAGTAAGCAAGAGTTCTCTGGGTTACATTAATACTTTCACTTGGTCCAGTTGACATTAATGTGTGGTGCAGTGTGAAGACTGCTGCTTTCTGGGGCATGAAGGTAGGCTGTTGGAATGGACTCTTGTCTTACTTAACTCTGATTCTGTGTTTCTTCTCCTTTTCCTACAACTAGCTTCTGAGAACCAGAACGGGAATGGACTAAGCACCCCACCAGGTCCTGGTGGTGGCCCACACCCCCCTCACACTCCCTCCCACCCACCTAGCACCAGAATCACTCGAAGCCAGCCCAACCACACACCAGCTGGCCCTCCTGGCTCCTCCAGCAATCCCATAAGTAACGGCAAAGAAACACGCAGGAGCAGCAAGAGATAGCAAGACATTCTTCCTTTTCTACTGCCATCAGCATAACCCAGGTGTCTGCTAGAGAAATAGACAGGCTAATAGGTTTCTGGCTTTGGGGTGGGGGCTGGAGTAGCAGCCCTAGCCACTAAGGGGTGGTGAGCTGCGTGGCTTTATTCACCCAAAACTCATAATCCCTCTTGTCCAGCTGAGCTGCCTGTCCCCTGTGATCCAGGACCCTCTACCTGCCCTCTTTCCTCTTTAGAAACTATAGTTACATAGTTTGTTTCCTATGTAATGTGGGGGTATAATTGAAATCCTCCTTCCTAATAAATGTTTCCACTCTTTATTGGACTTCTTTGCTTTTGGGGGGAGAAGGAAAAAGACAGCAGTCAGCTAACCTAGGAGGTGGAGAGGAGATAAGTTATAGGCAAGGAGGCCTAGGCAAAGCAAGCCTGCCCCTTTAAGGTAGTGTCCCTCCCCTGCCCCGTTTCTGCAGGTGACCCTTGCCCGCCTGCCTCCCAGAAGAAGGCTGGGTCCCCTTCCTTTGGGCTTCTTTCCTGTTTCCTGCTGCCAGGTAACGTTAACCTCGACCCTCTGGACAAATCTCCCTAATCAGACTTTACTCCTCCATCTTAAATCAGACATCAGAGGGGAGCCCACTACTTGTTTCCTTTCCCCAGCTGAGCTTCCCCTTCTTCCGTCGTCATTCCCAGAGTGTTGGCTCTTAGGATTCCTGGGGTGAGGAGTTGCTGAGAACAGTTTCTTCCCCACACATGCATTTKGGGTAACCACTTATCTGTCCTTTCCCCTCCTCCCCAACTTAGGGACACCTGGGTCAAGTCTTCCCAGGGAACATGGGGATGGAGGTTGGAGACAGGAGAAGCTCAGTACCAGATGTAAGGTGGGTGGGATAGGAGTATATACAGGAAAAGGCTCAAGTGCTATTAACTGGGTTAGGGGTAGAGTGAATTAATTTAAGAGGAGAAAAAACAGCACAAGTTCCTAACCATGTGGCTGTCTCAGGGCATAAAGTGGCTTGTCCCCACCTTGGGGCCCAGCAGACTGATCTTTGACCCCCACCCCAGATAAGAGTGAATCATTAACTCCTATGTGAACCTTCCTACACTGGCCCCGCCCCAAAGCAGGTGGGCTAGGAGGGGGAGCCTATCCATCACGGCCCTCTATATGACGTGGACTCCATTGCACCTTGGCACCTGGAGGCTGAGCCCAGGACTCCATTGCACCCGGGAACCTGGAGTTTCCCCCTCTCTGGCTTGGGAACTTCTTAATGTCCACAGCAAGGCCTGCAGGGAACTGAGGTGAAAGTTTTCACATTGCCAGTAAGGGTGAGGCCCTGGGAATTTAGGGGGCATAGAGAGGTAGGACAAGGTTAGGGGTGGGTTATGGGAGACCAGGGAAGAATGCAGGTGTGGAGAGAGGGCTGGATCAGGAAGGTGCTCTAGAAACTGGCAAACAAGAGACTGTTCCAGGAGACTATTGGAAGGGTAGAAGAAGGCCTGAGTGGGGGCTGCTGCTAGATTCAAGTGGGGGACAAGTGGAAGTACTGATGGTCCTCCCCTAGCATGGAACCTGAGAGCAGAGAAGCAGCCTTGATCCCTTCCTTCTTGTTCTTTTAGGGCACAGTCCTAAGGATGTTCCAGGTGGAATAGAAGCCAGAATCAGAGCTCTAATTCCTTTCAATGATGGGGGCCCCAGTGTGTTTTCTGCTGGCTGGCCTATGTGTAGGGTTGATCTTAGGCTGGGTAGGGGGTTCAGTCCCCAACCTGGGCCCTGCTGAGCAGGAGCAGAATCACTACCTGGCCCAGCTGTTCGGCCAGTACGGAGAGAATGGGACACTGACAGCAGGGGGCCTGGCCCGGCTTCTTCATAGCCTGGGGCTGGGCCGAGTTCAGGGGCTCCGCCTGGGACATCATGGGCTTCCAACTGGTCCAGTTGCACTCCCAGCTGAAGACAATTTCACACACAGGTACTAACCCCTCTGTCCACCCCAAAATGCTACATCTCAGCTCTTCTCAGTGCTTAGATCAATCTCCAGTTGCCTAGTGCTAGCTCCCTTGAATGGATCCCTGGAATTACAAATTATTTGGAACCCAACTCCTTAGTATTCTCATTGCCTTCTTGCCTCTTCCAAATCCCTATGCCCTCAAATTCCTTATTCTTAGACCCACTACTCAATGTCTTCAGATTTATTTTGCTCCCAATTTATAGCATTTCTGGCTTTTCCCCTCCCCTGCAGCTCTCATTCTTGAGCCTCCCTATAAAGTGAGAGCACCCAAATTTCCTCAGGACTGATATGCCTTGAGTTTCTGAGTCCCAGGAACTCCAGCCAGTGGCTGGCCTTCCCTTCTACTAAGAACCCTGAGAGACTCTCAAGGCAGAGAATCTGATTTGCTGTCCCATCCATTCCAGGCCACAGGACCCTGAGCTGAGCGTGGATGTCTGGGCAGAGATGCCACTGGGTCCCTCAGGGTGGAGTGACCTGGAAGAGTCCAAAGCCCCCCACCTACCCCGTGGGCCAGCCCCCTCGGGCCTGGGCCTCTTTCACAGGCTTCTATTACTGGATCATTCATTGGCTGATCATCTGAATGAGGATGTGAGTTTGATGGTTTCTAGAGATGGGGAAGGAACCATAGGATTAGGTAGCCTGAAATGTTTAGGGTCAGTAATTTAATAGTTACTTAAAAAAAAAAAAAAATCTCTGGAGGCTTGGAGTACAACATAGTGGTAGAGCCCTTGCCTAATGTACGCAAGACCCTGGGTTCAATCCCCAACAATGCAAAAAGAAAAAAGAGACAGAAAGAGAGAAAATTCTAATGTGGTAATGTGTTTTAGGATATGTTATCCAGTAGTAGAAGTTATTCTGTCTGTGCTCAGACAGGTGAGCACACACCCAGAACTCTAAGACCCAGTTTAGGGGCCACATTTGGCAAAGTAGAGAATCTAGAGAAGCAGCTCAGTGCAGGATCTGGGTATGGTTATCTAGAGAGGAGTCTTGCAGGGAATGAATGGCTGTCTCTATCTAGAGAGACAAAAAACTTACTCCACTGTTCCATATACCCCAAAGGGCAGATGAAGTTACCTAACCTTGACACAGGCCCAGCAAGAGCCCCATTACAGGAAGCATTCAAGCCCAGGCTGAATGAACATGTGAACATGTGACAGGGTCTTTGAGAGGGAAGTTAGATGGCATTTCAGATTTTTTTTCTCTCTCTTATTTTTTGGTACTGGGGACCTAACTCAGCGGTGCTTTACCACTTCACTATGTCCCTAGTCCTTTTTTATTTTGATGGGATCTCACTAAGTTGCTGAGGTGAGGTTGGTCAAGACAAACTTTTGATTCTCCTGACTAAGCCTCCCAAGTAGCTGGGATTATAGCCATGTGCCACAAACACCTACTTTCACATTTCAGATTCTTTTCCCTTCTAGGATTCTGGCACGGAGGGCTCTAGTTGTCCAATCAGGTCCATCACCAAACCAATGAATTACCAGAGCTTGCTGGACATGGTGGCACACACCCGTAATCTCAGCAACTCAGGAGGCTGAGGCAGGAGGATTGCAAATTCAAGTCCAGCCTCAGCAGCTTAGTAAGGCCCTAAGCAACATAGTGAGACCCTGTCTCAAAACAAAAAATTAAGCCAGGCATAGAGGTGCACACCTGTAATCCCACTATCTCGACGAGAGGCTGAAGCAGGAGGATCATGAGTTCAAAATCAGCCTCAGCAACATAGCGAAATCCTATCTATAAATAAAATATAAAAAGGGCTGGAGATGTGGCTCAGTGGTTGAGTACCCCTGGGTTAAATCTCCAGTACCTAAATAAAAAAATAAATAATGAAAAGGCTTGGGAATGTGGCTCAGCTGTTAAGTGTCCCTAGGTTCAATTCCTGGTACCAAAAAAAAAAAAAAAAGAGAAAGAGAGAGAAAAGAAAAAGAATAATCAGGGGCTTTGGGGAGAGAGAGGATGGCAGTATTCACTAGCACCTACTTTGAATCAAATTGAATATTTGCACTGGATTGAATATTCACTAGTAATTAATGAATATTGATTATAAGTACCCTTGTCCTCAGTCCCTGGTGTACCTGCCAATCTGAGCAAAGGGGACCCTAGAAGAGACCCAGTAGTTCATGCAATGGAAGGACAGATGTAAAGATATGAGTCAGTTACGAGTGTCTCCCTAAGGTATGACCCTCTCCTCAACTGCCCAGTGTCTGAATGGCTCCCAGCTGCTGGTCAATTTTGGACTGAGCCCTGCTGCCCCTCTGACCCCCCATCAGTTTGCTCTGCTGTGCCCAGCCCTGCTTTATCAGATCGACAGCCGTGTGTGCATCCAAGTCCCAGCCCCAGCACCTCCAGGGAATCTACTTTCTGGTCAGTGGGTGAGAGTGGGGTGGGGTACCCTGAGCCCTAGTAGGGAGTAGACCCCATGCAAAGGAAGGGGAATTACTGGGGCCCCACATTGCCTGTGGGTCCAGCCCTGGCCTAACTTCAGCCCCTGATTCTCCCCAGCCCTGCTTCATAGTGCCCTGGCAGTCCTGTTGCTCAGCCTCCCTGCTCCCCTCTCCCTGCTGCTGCTACGGCTCCTGGGACCTCGTCTATTGCAGCCCCTGCTGGGCTTCCTGGGGGCCCTGGCCGTGGGCACTCTTTGTGGGGATGCACTGCTACACCTGCTGCCACATGTACGTGAAGCCCCTTCCTTATATCCCTGACCAATGACAGCCAGCCTTCATTCTTGGCCATAGGACATCCCCTCCCCCTTCTGTCAGTTTCCACGTCCCACTCCCCCACATCTGGCTTCAGCCCACAGCTGCCTTCCAGAAGGGAGGGAGATGCTATTTGATATAGGTGCTTCCAGGTCTGCCCTGACCTCCTCTCTCTCAGGCAAAAGGAGGGCAACACACAGAACCTAGCGGGCAACCAGAGGAGGACCTGGGTCCAGGGATATCGGTGCTTGGAGGCCTCTTCCTGCTCTTCACACTGGAGAACACACTGGGGCTTTTGCGGAACAGAGGTCTCCGGCCAGTGAGTGACACCCTTTTCTCTTCCTCCTGTCAAGATGACAGTCCTAGCCAGGAACTGGCCAAACAAGCCAGGAGGTGAGGGGCAGCATGTGCCTCTGGATTTTGGATATTTGCCTAACTGTGCAGGACCTGTCTGCCAAGAATGGGTAGGGGTTTCCTAGCACAGACCCAGGACTTCTGGCCAAATGGCCTCCTCTCCTAAGTTCAAGTCAACAAGAAACAGAGGGAGGTGCCAATTTGGGAAGAGAATAGAGGCCAAAGAACACCCCCAGGTGCCAGAAGTGGAACCAGGTGTTACTTTTCCCACCTGGTGGCCTGGCTTCCCCTTATCCCCCAGTTCTGCTGCCTCCTCCACCAGGAGGGATACAATCCTATTTCAGAGATGCTGCAGGCGAAAAAGGGACCTCGAAACACCAAACTTGGACCCCGAGGATGACAGTGGGATGGCCCTTCGGCCCCTACAGGCAGCTCCAGGTGACTAGAAGAGAAAATGAGGAGTAGGCTCCATCAGGCAGTCTCACTTGCAGCTACCAACACTTGTCCTTCTTCCTGCAGAGACAGGGGCTCAGGGCCAGAGGGAGCAGAACAGCCAGTCCTCACCAACACCAGCCCTCCCTGGGCACCAAAGCCACAGTCACAGGCACCAGGGTGGCAGCAGTGCCAACATCACATGGATGGTCCTTCTAGGAGACGGTCTACACAACCTCACCGATGGGCTGGCCATAGGTGATAGAAGAGGGAATGGTGTGGGAGAGGCTGGTCCTAGGGTAGTTCAGGGTTCGTAGTTACCAGCTGTGGCCAGAAGATGGCTACCGGAAAAGGTGGGGGGAGATGAGAGAATGACAGACACACACAGGCACCGACCCCCAAGAGACATCTGGGCCGACTTCCAATCCTGCTAACTCCAGGTGCTGCCTTCTCCGATGGCTTCTCCAGTGGCCTCAGCACTACCCTAGCAGTCTTCTGCCATGAGCTGCCCCATGAACTGGGTAGGAATGGCCCAGGAGGGTGGGGTGGGCTCTCGAGAGGAGTAGCCTCCAAGGGGTAGAACTTGGAGGCTGGCGGGCAACACAGGTGAGGGGCAGCGCTGGCTTATTCCCTCCTATTCTATCCTCTCTCCCCAACAGGTGACTTTGCAATGCTGCTCCAGGCAGGGCTGTCCTTTCGGAGGCTGCTGCTGCTGAGTCTTGTGTCTGGAGCCCTGGGTCTTGGGGGTGCAGCACTTGGGGTGGGGCTCAGCTTGGGCCCTATCCCCCTCACTCCCTGGGTGTTTGGGATCACTGCTGGGGTCTTCCTCTATGTGGCCCTTGTGGACATGGTGAGAGGTGTGGGGAACAGCAGAGAAATCAAGGGAAGTGGGGAGATGGGTGTGGAGGAAAGGGAAGTATCAGTCCCTCTGACTTCTACCATCAGATCCTGGAGGGTGTTGCTCCACAGGTCTGCCAGAATCTGAGACACAAGGGATAGAAAGTGTTCTGGCAGGGACTAGACACCCTTCCTCTTGAGTTAAGAGGTCAGAGACAAGGTCAGAATCATGACATTCTTCTTTTCTTTCAGCTGCCAGCCCTGCTTCGTCCTCCAGAGCCCCTGCCTACTCTCCATGTGCTACTGCAGGGGCTGGGGCTGCTGCTGGGGGGCAGCCTCATGCTTACCATAGCCCTGTTGGAGGAGCAGCTCTTGCCCCTGGTCCCTGATGGCTGATGGGGGCCAGGGGCAAGGGGTCCAGATTGCCCTTCCTTCCCCCCAACCACAGGAATGGAGGCGGGACACAGGGCCAGTAGGAGCAATAGGATTTTAATAAACAGAACCCATCCCAAAGCCATGACTAGACAGTTGTACTTGCACCAAAACAGCATAGAAAAACCAGGGTGTGGTGGGAGGGCTCAAAGCAGGTTGGGGGAGGACATGAATAGGGCCTGGGGGGGTGCAGGGTGCATCAATCTTCAGGGAGAGCATTGTGCTTTAGCCCAGGGAAGAGGGGGAGGGGTGGGGCAAAATGCACCGAGGTCCCCACTTTTTCCTGCTGCCCTCAGCACCCTGGGGATGCAGGCATTTGGGCAGATCTGCCCTTTATTGCTGCCCATCAGCATTAAACACCCCCGACCCCAACACTAGCACCACAGGTGGATCCGGGGCAGGGAGAAGGGCAGGAATGGGAAAATTGCTTAGAGAAAGATTCAACTAGAATCCAATGAATTGTGCTCAGTTCTCTTTACTTCCTACAACCGAGTACATGGGTCACAGGGTGGAGGGTGCAACAGGACATGGAACATGCCCTTCTGTGCCCCCCAACACACACCTGCACACAGGATGGTGGTGTCTGCAGCATCACAGGTCATGCAGGGCATGGGAAAGGGGAAGTTCACACACACATAGATGCCCACAGTGGGTACCAGACAGAGAACACCCCTGAATATACACAGCTGTACATGGGGAACCCCCAGGTTCCCACCCCAACCCTCTCCCCTGTCTTGCCGTCCCCCAGGCAGGGGAACTGTATTGCTTTGAGAGAGCCACCCTGGGGGCTGCTCTGCCAGGCACCCTCCCCTCCCACCCACCCCCATTTTGGCACATCTGCAAGACACACGGCAGCGAGAGTAGGCACCCTCCCTCCCAAGCTTCTGTGGCTTGGAATTGGAGAAGGGGGTAGGAGACTTCATCCTCCATCTTTCCCCTAGCCCTTCCCAAACCCCTGCCAAACCCACTCCAGCCAGGACCCACCCCCACCCCCAAACACACACATACAAAGCTGAGCTATCCAGGAATACAAGCAGAACAAGGAGATTGTCCGGGATGGGAGTGGAGGTGGTGGGGAAAGACTGGAAGCAGAGCCCCACCCTGGTGTGGGGTAAGACTGGCACAACAGCTACTTTAGTGCAATTGGAGGGGGTGCCCAGAGTGAGGATGGAGACGGGAGGGAAGGCTCTCCCCGCATTCCCTGGGGCAGTCAGACTTCTGGACTCCCCAGGAAAAGGGCCTAGCAGGAGTAAGCGAGGGCCGAGGGCAGATCCTCTCGTCACCCGCCACCCTCTGCCCTCCCAAATGCAGTGACAGTGTCCCCCTCACACCTATGTGGGCAACAGCAGCCTCGGAGTCAGTACCTTCAAGTAATTCAAAGAGCAGACCCTCCCCACCCCAGCTCCCTCCCATCTCTGGGATTTGGTCRCTTCTCTAGGGGTTGGGTCAGGAGGAGGGAGTCCTTAAGTCAGACCCTTCCCTCTCTACCTCCCTCTTCCTAGACCACTGGGCTTGGTCCTCAAAGATTCCTTACCTCCGCCCTTGTCCAACCTGGGTCAAGGCTGCGGAAGGCTGGAGCCACCACAATTAGAGGGGAAGGGGCTGCTTTGCTCCTTATCCCTCCTCTTAAAAGGTAGGGTTCAAACTTGGCGGGATGGGGGCCCATACTGGCTTGCCCCAGGAGTAGGGTTTCTGGGCTAGGGTCTGTAAGGCTATTTTCCTTTGCGGTGGGAAGGGGAGGCAAGGGATGAACACTGGGTGTGGGGAGAGGGTGAGAAATGGCTGAGAGGGAAGGAGGAAGGGGCCACCCCACTGGAGCATAGTCACTGGAGTCATTTCAACAAAGAAACACTCATGTGCATAAGATACAGAGTGTGCCTACTCCCAGCCCCGCCAGCCTGTCCCACCCCGCCTCTCAGGACCCCTTCTAAGACCGCGGAGAAGGTTTGGGGGTACAGTTGTAGAACCGTTCACTCTGGCCCCACCCATCCTACCACCAGCCTCTTCTCCCCTTCTAGGTCCAGGGAGTAAGAAGGTGCTCAGGTGGGCAGACAGCGGTGGAAACAGTATTGAGTTTTCCTTTGGTTACATATTGAAGGCAAAGGTGAGCTGGACTTACAGTCAAAACGGATAGGGGTGAGAAAGGAAGAGGGGCCATGGCTGGGGTTGGAGAGGGAGGCAGACCCTCCTTAGCCCCTCCACCCCAAGGAACACACATCTACGTGGGGGTGGCAGTCCCTCAGTCTCATCTYTCCCACCCCCACAGCACCAAACAAAAGGAGAAGCCCCCTCCCCCCAGGGCTGCTCCCCACCCCAACCTGGGCTGTACATTCAGTGGTTCTCAGCAGTCCTATGGCTCAGGGGGCCACGGGTGGGGGAGGTGGCCCATCAGTCTCAGTTGGACAGTGGCAGTGACCCAGGTCTGTTGGTCCTTCCAGGGACCTACAGTTTGTGCCATGTGTTTTTCTGAAGGATAGAACACAACCCTACCAAAGCCACTGCCCAATCGGAAACATCCCCCCAAAATCAGAAACTAAAAGCTGGCTTTTTTCACATCGCCCTCTGATTCACACATCTGTCTCCTGTGTAGCCCTCGCTCCATCTCCTTTGCTGGGACCTGGGGCTGCTCCCAGGGTCCTCACTTAAAATAGGCCTTTTCACAAAAGTGCTTATTACTTGAAGCAAGTGCTTTAGAGCTGTGGTGGGGAGAGGGGGAGGGGAGAAGGGAGGGTAAAGAGAAGGAGATACTTCCTCCCCCACCCTACCCCCTTTAGATTGGGGGGCATTCTGCCTATTTTACTTCTCCACACCCGTTTAAGTCAAAAAAATCTTAACATTAAAATAAATATGCAGTGGCCATGAGAATGGTCAAAATGCTTCAAAAAACACTAGGGACTAGGGAACTCGGGCTGGGGTGCAGGATTTCCTTTGGCATAAGGAGAGGAGGCTGCTTGCCCTCCAGGCCTCCTCACAGCCACATGAGGAGGGACAGAGGACTTCCTGCCACCCCCCCCCCAGCACTACTGACAGTGTGCTGAGGGGCAGCAGGGAACACACAGCCACCAGAAATCTCATCTAGCAAAACAAAACAATGGGGCTCCTGACAAATACTCAGATTCTTCCTGTCATCGCCAAGCATTGATAAAGGAGAACACGACTGATACCCCAAGTCTTCCCCATAGGACCCATCTCCCTGCTCCCTGTGCCCCCCACCACCTAATTCCCAGCACCAAAATGAGAGGGAGGGGGTGGAATGGGAAGATTTTAGGAGAGAGAATTGAAGTTAGGGGGCAAGCTTTGCAGAACCAGCAGGGTTGGGGTGGGGGCAGCAGCCCTTAAGAGAGGTCACATTGATTGTCGTATAGGGGAGGACAGGGTATGAAGGGAGGTGGGCAAGAGGGGCATCACAAGGCCCTTTGGCTTTGAAAACAAAAATAAAAACTAAAAGCTGCACAATCCTTCTCACCAATAATGGTCATTTGGAAGCCTTGAAATGGTTTAGGATCTGAGGGTTGGGGGAAGCAAGACACAAAGAGACAGGGGAATAATAGGGATCATGAATAAAATTAAGGACTTGGACAAATACCCCAGGCTTCAGGGAACCAGCATGAGGTAAGGTTAAGGGTATCTGTGGGGAAGAGAGGGATCCCTGGGACAGCCCCTCTCCCCTTAGCCCACCCTTGGCAAAGGTGGCAAGACATTCAGGGGACGCAACTGAAAAATGGGTAAGATTGTGAATAAAGCAAGCTTGAGTGGGGAAGATGGATGAGGGATTCCCTAGGGGAGACCCTGTACTGTGTAAACGAAGCCTGTCCAGTTCTCCAGGGACAATACTGATGACAGCCAAACTGGGCAAGGATGCACTGTGTGAGTGGGTAGTGGGGCAGGACCTCTATTCAAGTTCTGTATCTTGGCCCCTGGCTGAGGTATTGAGTGTGAGGAAGGGAACACTGGGCTACAGGAGTGGGTCCAACTATGCAGAGGCTTACCTAGCAGACGGATGGACAGGGCATCTGAAGGGACCAGGGCCAGATTCAATGCTACATTTAGAGAGAAAACTGCCCCCTCCTCACTCCAGCCCAGTTTGGCTTCTGGGGTGCACCTTCTAGGAGTCTTATAAGTGCAGCCCCCAACTCAATTCCATCTCTCCCCCTGCTGGGAAGGCAGGAGACCAAGCCTCAGTATCTACCTGTCATTCTCTCCTTACGAGCTTCCTCCTCACAGGAGGGAGGCCTGCTTCTCCAACTCATGGCCACAGTCCCTAGTCTGCCCTGCCCCTCCCACCATCTTTGGCTTCAGATCAGGAGTGACCGGGGTAGCGATTACTCTCAGATGTGACAGGAGATGGAGGCAGACAGGGGGCATAAAGGAACTCTGGGATTGGGGGCACAGGAGGAAGAACACAGTCCCTCCCTCCACACACATGCAAGCACATGCCTGAAACACTGAGGACATACTAGGGTTGTGGTTTTGAAATGGGCAGGAAATAAATTTGTTTCTTCCCCTAAAAGATAAAATGCTTACTTAAAAATTCATGACAAGCCTCAAAGTTCAAGGAGAGAAGGGCCAAGGAAGGAATGGCCACAGGCTCCGCTCTCTCAAAAGAAGTGAAAAGAAAGAAGCAAGGTTAAAGTGCGTGGTTAGGGGGCCAGGCCAGAAATGGGAGGAGAGGAGGGGGCAGGCTGTGGGGGCAGAACCAGCCCTTGATTTGCATATGAGGAGCCAGGGGAGAGTGCAGGATTGGGGCCCAGGTACAGTAGTTGCTGCTTCAAGTGTTTTGCATTTGAACTTTAGGGGTGGTAGGGTACAGAGTAGGGGAAAAGCTCCAGGCCCCAGTGCTAAATACCCTCCCCCCTCATCCTCTAGCTGCCCCTGAAGGGGGAGGGAGACACCCCCAGAGTGCT